AAGAGGAAATTGCACCTTTAAGTCAAGAAAGAGCCACCAGCTATTTCAGTGGCTTCTTCCTAGAATTGAATCAAATGCTTGTCTAGTGATGCTTAAGACCAATATGAGTTTAGAGCCTAGTTAAACTTTGCTAAGGACTAGAAAATTCTTATACCATTTGTTGTAAATTGTTATAAATCACTGGTGAAGAAATTACCTCAGAGCAACACCGATTTAATGCCACATATTTTTCTGCCCACAAGAAGGCTCACAAACACATATATATCTTGTATATTTAGTCATGTTGCTGGATTACATTGTTCCGTTATCCCTTTCTAGTTAGATGGGACATTTTACCATCTTTCAAATAAACTGCGTTTCCAAAGAGTTTCAGAGATTACACAAGTTATACTCTATCCAAGTTTACCTGCCTTATTTCCAACATGTTGCAGAAGATACCATAAATGTACTTTTTTTTAGAAAGAAGGTTGCAGTCTACAACTTAATAATCATTTGTGAAAAAAATGTCCTTGTGCTGAAGACTAAACTTTTGCCTTGTTAGTGTAAAAAATATAGGGCATTCTGGTGATGTAAAGGTGGGAAAGACCTGGGAGACCAAGCAAAGTGACAATGCAAAGAGAATGCTCAGGTAAGAGCCAGAAAAACCCACAGTTACATGATAGGCAGAGCAAGAGACTCAGGAGAGACCCTGCCTAGTTTCTTGGGCTGTAAAGGAGATGAGGGAGAATTGAACTTTTAGACTTGCATGATTCTGTCAATTTAGCTTTATAAAAATGGAATTATTTTATCTGGTTGTGATACCTATTTAGTTTACTTGGTGAAGATGACAGATAATAAAACTGAATGAAAGGAATGCTGAGCATTTGGAAACCACCTTCTCCCCCTCCCCTTCCTTCTTCTCTTCTTTTCTCCCTCTCTCCTTTCCACTTTCTTTCTTTCTTTCTCTCTCTTTCTTTTTCTTTCTTTTCCAGTTCAAGGCTACTCTTAAACACGAATTCATAATTCACCTTCTATGTAGTACCAAAATAAGCTGCGATCTAATGTTATACACTCTTCTGTACACGGTGCTGTTCAGAATGACCAACCATCAGAGACCTCTAGGTATTGGAATGTTGATAAATCTTGAGGCATTATTTTGAACAATGCTGGTACAAATGATCAAAATATTATTATAAAATAATGAAAAAATAATATAAATAATAAAATTTGGAGACAGCAGGCTTCATTTCAATTTTCATTGGAGTATTATTTCAACAGTGAAAGTAAATATATATTTTGATAGAAGATGCAAAATACTTCCAATAACCTATTTCCGGCTATGTTCAAAAATAAATTACAATACATGAACATTCACACCTATATATGGATATTCTGGAGGTTGAAAATCAAAGGGAGGTCAAATTGAAACTAATTCAATAGCCCAACCCCCTTGTAGTTAGGCAACTCTGGCTCTGCATATCGAAGAATTAACCTTAGAGATAAGCAAAGGCCATACCGTAGTTGTAAAGCTGTAATGAAAAATTCTCCCCTAACCCCACCCCTTTGCAGCTAGTAGCAGGGTAGGTGACATTCGCCCCTTCCCATAACAGAGACTTTAGTTCCACTCCCAAATGGACTCCCTGTATCCATAAAGAAAGGAGAAACCATTCTTGATATCCTTCACATGTATATTATTTATGTATAACCCTTAGAATATACCTGAAGAAGCATAATGTCATTCTCCTTTGTGACATTATCATACTTGGGAGAAAAGGAATTATTAACTTTGAAAACTTGTTTTGTTATGTCTGTTTCTGAACGAATTCCAAGAATAANTTTATCCCCAGAATATGCCCCTAATGAGCCCCAGCTGCATAATTAATCTTGCATCCCAAAAAGACTCACAGAAGACTGCTGCTGAGTCACAACACCCCATCATTCATTCTCTCCCGCCCAGCAGCACCATTTGCTACCCAGTTCTCTGCCAGTTCCCTGCACAAAACTTTGGCACTCAGTGACCATGTCTGAAGTGGATGTACCTGGCTCTTTTCTTTGCTGTCTTCCTTTTCAGACCCAGCTTCTTTGGTGAACACATGACTTCCTGCCTTCCAATACAGTAGCATTGCCAGCTTGGGTTAGTGGTTAAGGTACCAGGCGAGGGACTGTGAATTCAAGTTCTGCCTTAGCCATGAAAGCCAGATGGGTGACTTTGGGCCAGTCATGCTTTCTTGGCCCATTCCCACCCAACAGGGTTGTTGTTGTTGTTGGGAAAATAGGACGAGGAAGATACGTTGGCTATGTTTGCCACCTTGAGTTATTTGTACAAATAAACAAGAGAGGGAAGGAAAGGAAGAAGGAAGGATGAAAGAAAGAAGGAGAGAAAGAGGGAAGGAAGAAAGAAGAAAAGAAAAAGAAAGGGAAGGAAGAAAAAAGAAGAAAAGAAAGAAAGAAAGAAAATCAGTCCTCAACTTATAACAATTCATTTAGTGGCTGTTCAGATTTACAAAAAAAAGTAACTTATGACCTTTTTTTTTTACACTGATGACCATTGCAGCATCCCCATGGTCATGTGATCAAAATTTGGATGCTTGGCAACTGGTTCGTATTTATGACTATAAATAATCATAAGTCGAGGATCATCTGTGTTGCATGCCCAGTCTTCTCTTAGTTTTTCTGCAACTTTGTGAACAGAAATAGATGCACTGGTCTATGCTACTGATTAAGTGATTCAGACATTACCACACTTTTCATTTTCATTCTGTTCATGTTCTGCTCTCTAGAAAGGGACTGGACGATAGTCTGTTCTGAGCACCTCCAAGTTGAGATTACATATAGAAATGTATTTAATTACCAGTTATCATGGTGTTAACTTGTTATGCATCCTGCAATAATGAAAGTCACATTGTGAACATAAGACAGATACTTACAGGGAGCAGGGACAAAATCAGCTGGTTACGTTTTCCTATATGTAAGAAACTGTTTGAAAATGTGAGATTGCTGTCTCCCTAGTTTCAAATCCAAAATGTAAAATAATGTCCAGCGGATCTCCTTTTGCAAATAAACCAAGCCACCCATGGGATGGATGCAGATGAAAGTTGACTAGTTTTCAAGGGAGCAAGAATTAGTCCGACAATTCTGAAAATTAAGCAAGTTCTATAAAATTTTGAGTTTTTCTCCCGAACTAAAGGACGTGATTTTGCCTGATGACTAGGAATTCATTAGTGCCTATGTAACATGTTAGCATGTTTGCATCTGCCTGCAGTATTGAAAAGTGAAACCATAAAACTAACACAATGTATTGAAAAGAAGAGTGAATAACACAGTGCTTCACCTTGCTTCAGGAAGGCTGAAATTGCACAACTTGTGGAAAAAAGCAGAGCATGGCTGGCTTATAATTAGACCAAAATTAGATGACTGCCCCGTTTGCGCAGCTGAGGGTTTTAGAGTCTGCTGATTATCAGGCATGTGAGTTCACACCCAGTCATACACATCCACTTATAGGCATGCACACAATGTATTGACTTTTGAGGTTTTGCTGTAGCCCTTTTTTTGGCTTGCTAGGCTGATTTAGTGATGAATCCTGTGTAAGAAATGCTTGTTGTGTGTTGTCCAAAAGGCTGCAGAAAGATATCTGTCAGATAGATGGGGGATGCTGTAATCCTTCAATTTTATTTTGGAGAGGCCATCTTACACAGGGATTCTAGTTTGCTCTAGATCAGGGGTCGGCAATCTTAAACACTCCAAGAGCCACAAAGGTCCTTGTACATTATAACTTATTAAATGAAATAATAAATGTATAAGAATGATAAATGTAAAGAAGAATACCAATGATGTGAATGTATACTTAAAATGGTATGTAAGAGAATAAAAAAATAAAAATCCTTTGGGGAAAAAAGCCACAAAGGTCCTAATTGGAAGCCCCCACTGGGGGCTGGAGTCGACCGGAAATCTGGTTTAACTACCATAGAGTCTCCTCCTAGTGTGGCATCCTTTTTCCTCTACCTGTCCTAACTGAAAGCCCTATCAATTGTGGAGCGGGCTGGAAAACCTGACCCTTTGCCATAGAGTTTCCTCCTGGCGTGATGTGCTTCTCCCTACCCCCCACAGCCAGAAGCTCCTTTCAAAATTGTGGTGCCGACTGGAGACAGGGATCACAGCAGAGGGTTGAAAGAACCACATGCAGCTCCAGAGCTGCAGGTTGCTGACCCCTGCTCTAGACTCATGTAAAATGAAGACATGGTTTCTATAACTGCCTTTTGCAGAGAGGTATGGATCGAAACATTTAAGAAGGATCAGATCAGGGGTGGGTTCCTGCCAGTTCTAACCTCTTCTATAGAAGAGGTTCCACAAATCTACCATTTAGATCCGGTTCCAGCTCCCGCCCTCTGCCCGTCTGCACATCATCAAGATGAAGAGGAAGAGGAGGAATTCTGGGAGTTGAAGTCCACAAGTCTTAAAGCTGTCAAGTTTGAACACCCCTTGGGGTTTTTTTTCTAAAGGGTTAGGGGGGTGCAAGAGTCTTGTAACTTGACAGCTTTAAGACTTGCGTGCTTCAAATGCCAGAGTTTCTGAGCCAACGTTTTGGTTGCTAAGAAAGAGCGTTGTTAAATGAGTTTCACCACATTTTACAAGTTGGCTATGCCCACCCAGTCACATGACTGCCAAGCCACTCCCACTCAGTCACATGACCGGCAAGCCACTCCCACCCAGTCACATGGCCAGCAAGCCACTCCCACAAAGCAGGCCACACCTACAGAAGAGGTTCTAAAAATTTTTGAAATCCACCACTGAAGCAGATGGGCCAGAGATGAAGCTTATTTCATCCAAACTTAATAGTTTGGGAAGGGAAGTTGCACTTAAAACCGTTTGCCTTTAGAGTTATTTTGGTTGGTTTATATTGTTTATGGCAATGGAGTTGTGTTTCTGCAAAAGTTCCCACATTCAGATCCTCCTAACCACCAGAATCAT